ATTGGCCACTTCTGGGTGCAGCATGCCATTTACTATGGTTTTCAATATCGAGGGCAACAGTCATTTTGGACGAGTCACCTATATCTGAAATAAAATAGGCACACATAGTCGAGTTTACAACAGATACAGTTGGAAAAACATTCCAAGCAATAGCAAGACGAGTATTCCAAACCATAGAGCCAATCAAGACAATTTTATTGCAATATTTTGAATTATTTCTATCCATCAATAAGGGAGACTTTCTAAAGGCTTGAAAATATCAGTTCACCTTAAGGAGATATATTACCTTTGTTTTGCCTTCCAAAACTAATGTTGTTTTCTGTAGGAGGATGGCAAGAAAAACATAATGTTGGAGGCAAACTTCTACTTTGACCACGACAAAAGTGTAATGCCAAACCTGTTTATCAAATTTAATTTCCAACCACCTTTTGTTGAAATATTAAACCACCATGGTCTAAGATAAATGAATCTCCCTTCCAGGTTGGAGCTGTCGTTGTTGGACTTGATCAGTACTTCAACTATTACAAAATGCAGTAAGGTCTCTTATCTTGTTTAATCTTATTTGTTGCTTGCAACCAGAAGAATCGTATTAGTATAGTTGTACAATTGTTATTTTCCGTGCTGATTGCAAGGTCTTTTTTGCTGCCGAACTTCAAGTAGCTGTTTGCAAGTTTATCAAGAGCATATTTTAGATATTATTCTTCAGAAGTTATAATCATAGCATACTCTAACCAAACATGTTTTCTATTTGATAACTTGGTGCATGCCATCTCACAGCCCCAGTTTTCCATTATTGTTGGTAAAATGTAACCTTGTGACTACATTTAAAGTTGGAGTGCTGCATTCTTTCTTCCATAATACAACCTCGTCCTTTGAACTTTTTGTGGTTTTCTGCAAGGGTCAAACATAATGGTGTTCTCGCAGGTATGCAAGCTTGTGTATTCGTGAGAATCCAGGCTGCCTTTTCATCGCGACCAACCGTGATCCTACTGGACATATGACATCCGTCCAAGAATGGCCAGGTTTTTCTATCCATAAATGTCAAAAAATTTATTTTAGGAGCTTCTATTGTATTGGTTCATTTTCTGATTGCGTCGAGTTTCAGGAGCTGGAACTATGGTTGCTGCAGTAAGTTGCTCGGTGCAGAAAGAGCCCATTGTTGTTGGAAAACCTTCAAGCTTTTTGATGGACTTCCTATTGAAAAGGTCTGCAAACTGCACACATAAGAAATATATGATTTGCTTGTTACTAAAACATGTACTAAATAGGGATATCATGAAATCATCTATAGGATTATTCTTATGTACAATGGCAGTAAATAAGTAGGTAATACTGATGCATCTAGAGAAATAAATCCATGCAGACTAAATGAGGTTTTCTCACAACAAATCGCCCAAACATATGTTCCGAGGCACTGTTATTTGGAGCTCATGCAGTCCTTCGATTGGAAATTTTATTGACATGAACTCATATGCAAACCTTATGTTTGTAGAAAATCAAATGCATAAACACATGCTAATAAGTATTTGTTGTTTTTGAACAATAGTATTTAATATCTACGGAAGTTTTGTTAAGTCTTAGATACTATATACCAACACACTTTGGTTTCCCACAAACACTATACATAAGAGTTCATGTTAATCTCTCAGTTACGTAAAATTCCCAACCGACGAATTGCATTAGCTCCAAACATTGTCTAAGATATGTTTGGGCGGATTGTTCTGAAAAACTCTCATTTAGCTTACATTTGATTTGTTTCTCCAGAGAGAGGGAGGGAGTGGGTGAGTGGTGTAGATAATCACAACTCTTCATTTCTTAGTAGTGCAGGAGCTCCTGAACTCTTCAATTGAACACAGTTTCTTGCATGGTTGCATATATAGCCAGCTTCATAATGTTCTGAAGTACTCCCTCCGTCCGAAAAAGCTTGTCCCTCAGATGGATGTATCTAGCATAGTGCTAGATACATCCATCTGAGGGACAAGCTTTTTCGGACGGAGGGAGTATGCATCTTCTAGATTTCTTGAAAGTATCATCAACATTACATTTGTACTGAACATGAAGTGCACATCTCAAACGAAAAAAATATCTAATTTCCTGTACAAACTTTCCTTCGTGCACACCCTCGTCTTGCTAAACATTTCGTTGGCGCGCGACGCTCATACAGCAGTGTGACTATGGGATAACAGTTACACTGTTTTGTACTAGTATACATGTACGTGCAAATGCACGCATTGACTTCCCTCGTCCCACCGATTGGTGCATTGCACAACAACCAGCTCAAAACTCCGTCTCAAATCCCTCTGCGATGACGCGATTAGTACGCGCGCTACCGATGCTTATGGACCATCTGCCAAGGCGGCTGAGACAGCCAGCTACGCGCACGGATGGACGACAACAGCAGCAAGCATGTGGATTTCTCCAGCATTGACATCTGTGGATGGTTCCAGAGAACAACAGTAGCTTCGCTGGTACTGTAGGTAGAACTGTAGGAGCGAATCCTAGCATTTCCAACCATTGTATGGGCTCTATCAATGCTTCAGGTTGCTTCCTAGTCATGAGATTCAAAATTTCAAAACTGGTACACTATGTAGTAGTATAGATATAGATATAGATTTATCTGAATTTTCTGTTTAGAACTTATCTGTAAATCCTCGCTGTTTGTACTGTTACAGCTTCAATTTGGAAACGTCGAGAATGTGCATGGTTGGTGACAGACTAGACACAGACATACTATTTGGCCAGAATACTGGTTGCAAGACCCTCCTTGTTCTGTCAGGCGAGGAACTTTTGCCCTTTCTCATATGTGTTGAACAATCTCGTACTCGTGTTTACTGAAAGTGCTCAAATGCCTTGGACCTGCGTTGCATTTGCAGGTGTGACTACCTTACCAGAACTTCAGGATGCCTCAAATACCATCCATCCAGATCTTTACACAAACTCTGTGCACGATCTCGTCAAGTTGCTGCAGCAATAACCTTGGACTTGGTAATTGGCACTACAGATGCAGCTCGAGCCCTGACTACAGCACCAACAATAATCTCCGGGACACTTTGTATGTCACCTAACAAAATTTTACGTGAACTGCGTATTTGATTCTGTTGGGTTATATAATCTATTATTTGGGTAGCTTCTTGGTAGCTACCCTGGCCTGTATTTGTAGACCAATTCAACTCAATCTAAGTACTGCCATTTACAAGTCAATTACGCAGCAGCATATATTTATCATGGCATTGTTAAAACTTCCAAGTGGTACAATGGAATCACATGTCAGTCTTGAAATGTATGGAACTGAACAGTTTTGTTTCATAAGTTTATTCAACTGTGGCACCAATCATTTCAATCTCTAAGATTGACCGATAATGAGACTAATTATATTCGGACTATGTGACCCGAAGCTAATACCATGGATTTATATTCATAAGTATTTTCTAGTGCTATCATTTTTGTGTCATGTAACTTACGTTTTATTGATGTAATTGTTGAATAAACCTGAATACGAGGATGTGATTGCATAAATGCCTCAACCCACTTCGTCCCGGTGGCAACAACTTCTGTTCAAACTGCCATTACCTTTCTTGAATGTGATCAATGCCGCACGACGTAAGTTCTGCCACCCCAGCGTATCAACATAGCCCACTGCTAAGACCGGGGGGTGGGTGTGTGCTTATTACACATAAAATTATAGTGGCCGCCTCATCGGGGTCGAGCTCACCCACCCCCCTCCGCACACCCTTCCCCATCTTCTTCTTCCTTCTCATTCCCCTTCTCTTTCTCCCACCTCCCATTGCTCATCTCCCCTCCTTTAATCCGACATCCAATGAGTGTAGGGATCAAAAGTTTGATATGTAGATTTTTCGTTGAGAAAAAGTCGAAATGGGTGCATATACATATAAAAATATGTACTCCCTCTGTCCCATAATATAAGAATGTTTTTGGCACTACACTAGTGACAAAAATGTTCTTATATTATGGGACGGGGGGAGTACAAAATTTGAGCTATAAATATTGTCCATCCATTTTGTAATATAAGACGTATTTTGAATTCATTGAGCTAGAATTTTAGCAACAATTTACTTATCAGTATTGGCTCATCGGTTCATGTGACACTCTTTGAAAAATAAGGCGGAGGGAGGGGTATTCGCCCAACGAAACATATTTTTAATTAATCTGCTTATAAGGCTAATAGGATCTGCTATAAGGGTGTTTATGAAGGGAGGGGTTGCAAATAAGGAAAGCACAAACAAAATTAGGGTTACACCGGGAAGTCTTGACCCATGCCTTAGGATAGTTCTACAAACGAAGCTTGAGCAGCGCCAACACCACGAAGGACATCCGCGGCGATGTTTCTAGGGATGACATCAGGCATCAGTTGCTGAGATTGAAAGACCATGTCGTTGCGGCTCTTCCGGACCCTCAAATAGCACAGAGATAAGGGCGGCAGAGAGCAGACACAGAAGGGACAACCTCAGTAGCCCAAAAATCACCAATGCAGGAGGTATGCGGCAAAGCGCCGCGGAGAACCACACTCCAGACACTTAAGCACCGTGCGCTCGATGTGGTAGGAAATTGATGTTATCATGTTCGTATGTGAGAGAGTGAAAAAAAATACTTACTCATGGCTGAATCACCTAAATCCACATGCAGTAATTATTAGTCAAATGCTTTGTCTTCACGAGTAAAAATACATCATACATTTACATTCTTATTATAAACGGCGAGAGAGTATCTGGTTGCGTTCTTTCTGTTTTTGAAAAGAAAAAGAAAGATAAGCGTGTAAAATAAGCTAGTACGTATGTAAACGTCGAAAATACAATTGCATTTCGAAAACCAATTCTAAAATGTTCAAATCTGCCCACCCCTTCCATCTCCCCATTTCCTCCTTCCCCGGAGCAGATCGTGCCTTTTCCGCTGCTTTCGGGTACTCCGATCTGCTCCCTCTCCAGAACCCTCCTCTGCCAGACCGCTCCACCACAAGTACACCACCGCCACCGCCATCGCCAATGGCGCCGAAGACTGGGAAGAAGAGAGGCGGACGCAAGCCCAAGCCTAAGCCCAAACCCAAACCCAAAACCCCATCTTCCTCTAGCCCGCCGACCTCGGTTCTGCCGCCACCGCCGACGGAGACGAAGGCTGCCGACGTCCTCACCGGGGACGTGCTCCGCAACGTCCTCCGCCGCCTCTCCCTCGTCGACCTCCTCCGCGCCGCCCTCGCCTGCCACTCCTGGCGCCGCGTCGCCTCCCGCTGCCTCCCCCGCGCCCCTCCCCTCCTCGGCTACTTCCACCACCCCGTCAAAACCTGCCTCCCGCCGCCCTTCAAGCAGAAGCACCAGCCCCTCCAAGACGCCGTCTTCGTCCCCCTCGGCTCCTCCTCTCCGCTCAGCTCCCTCGACTTCGCCCCGGGCGCCTCCCGCTACAAGCTCTACGACTCTCTCCAGGGCCTCCTGCTCCTCGAGCCGACCGCGGCGCTCCGCGGGGGGATCCTCCCGCGCTTCCTCGTCCTCGACCCGGCCACCCGCCGCCGCGCGCTCCTCCGTCCGCCGCCGCGCTCTACGGTGCCCGATGACCGCCTCTGGCGCCCCTCCAGGTTCTACATCGGCTCCGCGCTTCTCTCCCGCGCGCACCCCAGCAAGCTCTGCTTCGAGGTCGTCTGCTTCGCCATCGACGACGGGCACCCGCGCGCCTGGGTCGCGTCCGTCGACGAGGGCCAGTGCCGCTGGCGCGCGCTCCCGCGGGCCGTGGACGTCGAGGTCGAATTCGAGCCCTGGTGCTTCGAGCGACGCTGCGTGCACGCCGCCGGGAAGCTCTATTGTCACATCTGCAAGTCCGGCCGCGTGCTCGTGCTGGACCCTTCCACACTGCACTTCTCTTACATGCTGGCGCCGGCCGCACTGTCGGACCACTTCAGCAAGTACCGCGTCGGGGAGATGCCGGAGGACGGGCAGCTCTGCATCGCGACCGTGGAGAACCAGATGATGCAGCTCTGGGTGCGTGGGGAGACCAGGTGGAGCGACAATGGGTGGCGTCTTGAGAGGGAGATGAACCTTAGCAAGTTGTACGACGCACTGCCGGGCGTGCCCAGGGACAGGAGGGCCAGGTCGGCGAGCATCATGCTCACCGACATGGACGCCGGCCGCACAGGGAAGCTGTTCATCCAGATGCTGGGCTATGGGCGCTACTCGTTCGATCTCAAGACTTGCAAGCTGGAGCGCCTGGCGATGGAAGATGGCAAGGAGTACGGGGACCCCATCTTCGCCTACTCCCTGGCATGGCCGCCTGCCTTCCTGGCTGAAGCGTAATGGCTTGACGAATTTCGGCCATTTGTAAGATCGTCCTTCCCTCTTCATGTCATTTTTCCCCAGTGATATTGCTTGATAAAATGCTTACCAGCTCGTATTCATTTTCATATGTGTTTGCGTTTAAGGTTTAACTAGTTTGTTGCATGTGTATAAATGCACCAGCTTTACTAGGCTAATAGCGTTGGAAGCATAAGCGTATCCATTAGTGATAGGATCTGTAATGTTCTAAGGATTTCTTCCCCCGCGGCAAGGAATGAAAAGTCACTGTTCCAAAATGGAAGTTTGTTTTAGCAGTTCTTATCTTACCACATTGTCTTCCTTACTTCTTGTTGGTTAGAGATAATATATTCTGGTGGTAGAAGAGCTAATAACATGCTTTGATCATCCTGTTCTGATTGCTTCCCAAAGCTTGCCGGTAATTAGCGATTGATCTTTACATTAACTTGAAAGCACTTCACGGATGAAGTTTGATGGCATCATGGCACTATATCCCTTCAATTATGATCCCTTTAAGCGACTTCCATAGCACAGATTATTTAGCACGCGGGAAGTAAAGTTCACGCCAATGCCAACATAATGTTCATTTGTTTACCTTTGCAACTTTTACTTGGATTGCATTGAGTTTCAGCGCACATTCCACCTGTTCTTGTTTTAAGTTGTCATAGATTTCAGAATTCCAAGGGTGATTGCCAAATTGAATTGAAGTTGAAGTTAGATTTTATACAAAAATTTCTAGGAATTCACTGGATCTTAGTTTGTTTAAAGAAAACAAATCTTTTCACTTGTAATTTTCATGGTGATTCCTCTTTTTTTTTTTGTCATGGTCCTTATCTGATAGAATGAAGGAAACAAATATTGCTAATATTTGTTATGCAATCTGGCCCAGAACAGACTTGAGGTTAAAATAGCTGAAAATAACCATGAACCGCCTCATTTTAAACTTACCTTAATTTTCTTTTCTTCTCTTTCTTCGACTTTTTTTGGCGGTGGGTTGGGTCATATTTATTCTTAAGTTATGTAGTGGCACAACCAATTTTCCCCTTCCACTAGGCGATCTTTTTGGTTGACAAGGATACTGCTTGTTCTTTCGAGTTGTTTTTCTCAAATTGACAGTTAGACGGCCAAAGAAATCTCTAACTAAGGGATACTATTGGTGTTCATATGATTATTTACGTGTTCTTCATCATCCTGCTACTTGTTAAGCACTTTGTAGTTCATTGCATGCAGTCAGTAGATGTTTTCAGCTCCCACGCTATGTACCTATTTTGTCCGGGGATTTGGAAGTTTTACCGAATATCCCATTTGACGCAGTCTCGCTGTTCATAGTTGTCACTTTTTTTTTCCGATAAAGTTCGTAGTTGTCACTATTTCTCAGTTCATCTGAATATACAATCTTTTATCTTTCGGTTAAGTATTTTACCAGCAGCTCAGCTCATTTGCTCACAAAATTGCGCAAATGTGAATCCCTAGCTGATGATTCTATCATTGCTATGATTCAGGGCGGTGGCTACGTTCCGAGATTTTGTTCGAAGTCAGCTCATATGCTTCCATTTCTGGTGACTGCTCACCACCGCGCCACTGTGATTTCCCCCTTCCATTCAGCACGAATCGAAGGCTACCTTATTTTCTCTATGAGACTGTTATAAGCAATGTCGCCGCCGTGCTATCTGAGCATCTTTTGGACTAGATGATGTTCTGAAGACGCATCAATTTGTGCTGATCTTTCATTCGTAGTTTTGCTTGTTGCGAGTGGTACTTATCGCTTTTTGACTACCGCGTTTCTTCTCCCATGCTTGTTAATTTTTGTGTCATGTGATGGTCAAACCAATGGCGTGAATTTGTATGTGCTCCGTGCGAGATCGCTCCCACTCTTAATCTAGCTAGTGCTCCTGCCAAAAATAAAAAATAAAAAATCTAGCTAGTGCAACTCAACCACATTTGCTTTTTCTTGTGCGAACAAGTAGTAATGCTCATGCTTTATCTAATGACACCATGTAGTAATGCGAATCAGAAAATGACGAACCGCTTCTATTGTGATGGAAAATCTTTGTTGCAAGTGTAACTTTATTTTTTTTTGAAAGAAAAGGTAGATCTTGTTCTACCTTATGCATTCAAAACAGGCCGTAGCTCGATAGACCCGAGTCGTTTTACATGAAGGCGATGTAAGCGCTGCACAGAGTGTGCAGCAGGCCATCGCCAAGCTTGAAGAGGAAATCAAAAAAAGGAGGGAAGGCGGAAGAGGAGACAGAGACAGGGGCTAGTGGTGTAAGCTATGTTTATATCTACTGTTGCATCATTACATTAGCCCAAGAGTTTATGACCTCCCTTGCATTTCCTTCTGGTGCTCTCAACCTCCATAGCATAAGTAGTTGAGCAATCTCAGTGATAACCTTTGCAGTTGTCCAACAAACGCTATGGAAGACTTGCGTTTCTGGCATCCCAAAGCGCCACTGCACTTGCAGCAAAGAGAACATGCCAAAGTGTTTCATATGTTTCCCTTGCTACCTCCGAGGTCATGAAAGCTGCAGTAGTTTCAGCAGATGTGGCCGAATCCAGGAGGCCAGTCCTGGCCCAAACAGCTTGTGCGAGTTTGCATCTGAGCAGAATGTGGCGCATGGTCTCGGCTGCTGGACACATATCGCATCCGTTGTGGTTTACAATCCTTGTCCATTGTTTCCTCACCATGTTATCCCTAGTATTCTGCCTGTCCCTGATGGCCAACCATAGAAAGACCCGGTGTCGTTTGGGTATAATTCGATCCCAGATATAAGGAGCCGAGGGGCAATCTATGCCTCTGAAGGTGAGTAGCCTATAAAAATAGGCTGTTGATAGCTTGTTATCCAGCGTCATTGGCTTCCTAACGTCCGATGTACTAGGGGTTGGTGAGATGGTAACCAGGAGATCCATCAGTGTGCCCAACTCCCGCGACGCGGTGTAGGACATGTTGGGATGCAATTGTATCAACCAATGGCCGTTGTCGTACTGTGAAGCAACAGTGCAGTACCTGGCTTTGGAGAACGCAAAAAGGGTCGGAAAGGACTGAGAGAGTCAACCAATTTCCATCCAATGGTCAAACCAGAAGGATACCGTCTTGCCATCCCCGAGCTCACACTTGGTTGACTGGATAACTAACTGCAGAGAAGATTTGAAGCATCGCCAAATGGCAGTATCTGCATTATGTACTGTAAGTGGCAGTTCTGTACGACAATATGTTGATGCAAACCACTGGTAGCACGACACGTTGCTGGACTGTAGTATCTTCGTCATTGCTTTGCATATCACTACCCTGTTGTGTGTTGCGAGATCCCGTACTCCCAAACCTCCGTTTTGCTGCGGCATAATCACATAGTCCCATGCCACAAGACATTGTCCCTCCTTTGTCTGGTTCTTCCCTTGCCATAGGAAGCCCCTTATGATTTGCTCAAGCTGTTGTATAGACTGTTTTGGCCAGAGTAAGCAGCCCATGAAGTAGCTGGGTATCGTCGCTAGAACGACATTAATCAGAGTGAGCCGTCCCCCCCCCCCCAGGATAGGAAAGTGGCCAACCAGCCTGACAAGCGTTTGTCGACCTTGTGAATAACCGGCATTAGCAGTCCATGGGTAATCTTGTGTGCAGATAAGGGTAATCCCAGATAGGTGCAAGGGAAGGCAGAAGACTGACATTGTAACACTTGTTCAATCTGTTGGCAGACCGTCGGATCGACGCAAATGGGAACAAAGGAGCTCTTTTGGAAGTTAATTGTGAGGCCAGTGAAAGCTGAGAACGAGTCCAGTATCCTCTTGACAATGGCGGCCTGCTGTGTATTTCCTTGTATGAGCAGAAGTGTGTCGTCGGCATACTGAAGAACGGGGAAGGGTCCCTCTACTCCAAGCGGGTGTTGGAGCCAGCCAGCCCAGTGCTCCTTGTGGCAGAGCTGCTGTAGAATATCCGCCAGTAGTATGACGAGGTATGGCGATATTGCATCGCCTTGCCCGAGGCCACACTTGGAGTAGATCTTCTCTCCAAGCTGTCCATTAAGTAGGATTTGGGAGGAGCTGGAGGTGAAGATATGGGAAAGCCAATGATTCCAACGACTTCCGAATCCTCTTGCTGTAAAAACCTGCCGTAGAGCCTCCCAGCTGACACTGTCAAAAGCCTTCCGAAAATCAAGTTTTAGTACGATCATAGGCTTCTTTCTCTTGGATGCTTGCTGCACTAACTCTGCCGCTAGGGCGAAGTTTTCAATAATGCATCTTCCTGGCAAGAAACCCGATTGTAACGGATGAATCATGGCTGGAATGAGTCGTTGCAGCCGTGTAGCGAGCACTTTGGTAAGCAGCTTGGGCAGGCTATGCACCAACGAGATTGGCCGAAAATCCTTAATATCTGTTGGGCTGTCCTTCTTGGGGATTAGCACAATGTTGGCAACATTAATACCACTCAGGTTGCTGCCAAGCTCATAGAACTCCTGGAAGAAACTCAGCAGGTCCTCCCTTAAAAGCTCCCTGAAGCATTTGTAAAATTCATTAGTAAAACCATCAGGCCCTGGGCTTTTGTTGTTAGGGCTTTTCTGGATTGCAGTAGTAATTTTAGCCCAAGTAAAAGGTTCTTCCAGTGCCCTTAAATCAAAAGGAACATAGAGCTCAGATAAGTCAATCGTTGGCAAGGATGGGGATGGCTGCCCGAGCAGTTCCTGATAATAGTCTGTTGCAATGCGCAACTTATCCTGTTCACCAAAGAACTGGACCCCTTCCTTGATCAGTAGTTGTACTTTACTCTTTTTGTGATGCTGGCTGGCCGCAGCATGAAAGAACCTTGTATTTTCATCACTCAGGGTGCAACCTCTAATTTTTGCGTGACGCCTCCATGCCATAGTCTGCCAAAGTATGAGCTGTTATGCTTTCTCACGCGCATGAATCCTCGGCGCGCACTCCAGCTTGGATAGCTGTCTCTTCTCCTCTACTGCATCCAAAAACTAGACGCCATGTTTACAGTTGTCAAGAGTGAGCTGTATTGGCTT